CTGTCTACAAAAAGAGGTTAATTGACCTCTTAAGAAGTCCTACTAGTCGAGAAATTACATTCTAAACTTGTTTTCTTTCGAATCAAACGTTCGAAGTTCCTGAAAGTGGTCGTCCTGTTTGCCAGTCGCCGATCTGAGTGAGCACACACAGTATAAGTACCTTCATATAGTAAGTAAAGTAAAGTAAAGCTGCCCCACTACACGCCATGCAGGCGCTTGAGGGGAGAGATGGTACAGCTCCTACTCGTTCTCAACGTTGGCACCTGATGGGGTGAGTGGTCAGAGTCGAGCCCCGGCCGCGCTTTACCCACGGGAAAGGACCCCGGTACCCATTGGATAGGAGGGTGGGCCCCAGAGCCTAGACGAAAAATTCGCTGCCCCCGTCGGGGATCGAACCCCAGTCGTCCAATCCGTGGCCAGTCACATCCTGCATTTATACAGTGCATTTGTCTGTAACACGATATTCATAAAAGGTGGCTTATGTTGTATGATTTGAGGTTTTCACAGTGGCGAGTATGAAGATTTCTGTCTTCTGGGTTGTTGCGCTGTGTAGTCTGGTCGATGTTAACCAACGTTTCAGAGGTCATACTGCCTCCGTCATCAGAGTATGAAGATTATATGACGTGGAGGCAAACGGCGCACTTTTGTAACCACGATCTTGAAATTTCTGGTTTCTTATCAAACACCTCGACAAATAAATAGTATGCACTACCCAGGGAAACCGCGTGTCCCAGCTCAACTTCTTAGCCAACAGCAATCTTATTCGTAGGTCCCAGTAGCCAACATAACATAAAGAGCCAATAAAGTAAGATTTGAGGTTTTCACAGCGGTGAGTATGAAGATTTCTGTCTTCTGGGTTGTTGCGCCGTGTAGTCTGGTAGATGTTTACCAACGTCCCAGAGGTCATACTGCCTCCGTCATCAGAGCATGAAGATTTCTGTCTTCTGGGTTGTTGCGCGGTGTAGTCTGGTCGATGTTTACCAAGGTTTCGGAGGTCATACTGCCTCCGTCATCAGAATATGAAGATGGCTGTCTTATGGGTTGTTGCGCTGTGTAGTCTGGTAGATGTTTGCCGACGTTTCAGAGGTCATACTGCCTCCGTCATCAGAGTACGAAGATTTCTGTCTTCTGGGTTGTTGCGCTGTGTAGTCTGGTCGATGCTTACTAACGTTTCAGAGGTCATACCATCGATTCATCGCCCTGATGACGGAGGCAGTATGACCTCTGAAACGTTGGTTAACATCTACCAGTCTACACAGCGCAACCACCCAGAAGACAGAAATCTTCGTGGCTTGTGTTGTTCCTAGTGTTATGCCACGTTGGATGTATTTCTTCAGCAGTAACTTTGTCTTTAGAACTGCCTTCTTGTTTGATTAATATCGTGTCTTTCATATTTTCTTTTGTTTTCTGGCCCCTATTTCCGTCGTCAAGCGATCATCCTCTATGCCTTCCTTCTTTTCATTTGCCGATTCTATTTTGCTATCCTTTATTTCCTCTCCCTTTGGATCTCACTTATATTTTTTATCGGAAATGTAAGACAATAAAACACATTGAATGAGAATTTTCCGTGTGGTGTTGACGGCTTCATTTCCCTGATAATGTTGGTAGCAAGGACCTCTGAAACGTCGGTAAACGTGTACCGAACTAAACGTCGCTGCAACCCGGAAGACAGACATCTTTCTTTAGGGAGATTGTGTATGTTCTTGTGTTAAGGAGGACGTGCGTCTGCCTTCAGTTCCAGGTTTTATGCAAAATGTATTCAGGCTTTACTTAACTTATTTGAAATATTTAGGAGCGGTGGTAGCCAATCAACTTGCGTTCATGAGAGAAAAGATGCATTGGGTAGCTTTTGTCTCCGTGAAGTTCAGAATGGTTTATTTTCTGGTGTGCTGCATGAGAACGTGAAGATGGAAATTCATTTGCATAGGCTTCAAGCTTTGTCTCTGCCCTTAAGACAAGAACTCAGATTGACGATGATTGAGAATGGGGTGCTCACGAGTATATCTGGACCAGAGAGAGATGAAGTGACAGATGACTGGGGAAAACTGCTTGACGGGTACCAACCAACCAAAAAGCAAACTAAGGACGGAGTCCTGTGGAAACGCGAGACATCATCGCTCGCTAGGGTACACCATTCCTGCGTACGAAACGCATTGCTGGAAAGTGTAAACAGAGCCTTATGACTAAAACGGGAATTTGCTTACGCTAACTGGGGTTTTGTCGCGAAGGAAGCCTCGATTATTCAAACTAGGGTCTGTTGCTGCTGATGAGAGGTTATCTCGTCAGGCAACATGTCCTTTGTGGAAAAGGATTTTGGTTGGTTGGTTCTCCGGGGTTTGAACCCGGAAGGCTTGACTAGTAGCTACGCAATTTGTAATTTATACCAGGGAAGGACAACCAGCAGATACTCGCATGGTTTTGGAATTAGCCAACATTCCGGAAAAATTCTCCCACTGTTCATCTGAGCGAGTTTTTTTAAACTTGAAATTAGTGGATATTTTAATGTTGAAAGCACATGTATGTAGTCACTACTGGTACCGATCCTGGGTGTTTTTCTTCTGAAGTTTTTATACTCCCTGTGACCCATTAATTTTCATTATCAGACAGAAAAGTAATTTATAATTTCGCACGAAGGCAGTGTGTTGTTTAACATTCTGCAAAAGAATTTTGCTAATAAATTATAATATTTTTAGTGCTACCAATATCTCTTACATTTCATAAGTTTCAACGTCCACCATGTTGTTAGTTCATTTTGTAGAAAATTGAAATATTCGTGGTCTAGATGGTGTTCAGTGTCATAACGTACAAATCAATTTTCGTGAATATCTGTCATTTGGTTTAAGAAGATGAAGGTAGAGATCTTGTCGTAATCTATGGCGTACGTCTTTCTATGAGAAATTCGAGTAAACAAAATACAGTTAGATTCGATTATGACGAGATCCAAGGGACAGAGTAAAAGTGCTCGTTATATCCGTTATTGTGGCTGAATGTTTCATACCGATACAGGACAATTTCATTGGTTGGTTTGCCAGGTAATTTCTTTCCCTCGGTCTTCTGAGAATCCATAACATTATGGAAGAGATAGAAAAGAGGATTAAGAGATTGGGTGGAAAACAAAATGTCCAATATCACGTGCACCCGCAGCGTAGGACACGCTCTATTCAAACGAGGCCGTGGTGAACGGAATCATTCTGCCCTCCCCCGCCATGGATAACCATTGAGATCGCTATACATTTACCGTGATAACTGAGAACCCGCGTAGGCCCTCGACACCCCCGCCCTCAGGGTCTACGAGGATTTCCGCTACACCAGAGGAACCAGGACAGTGTTCTTCGTGAGGCGTACAGCTCTAATTGAGACTCTGAGAGCGGAAATCGAACCAAACGCTATGAATGTCGACTGTGGATATCGTTAAAAGGGTTAGAAATTTCTATCGATGTCATAAACGAGCAAAGCAATAATAGGTCTTAGTCCCTCGTACGGCTGGTTATAATGGCTTGAAGATTTGCTCGTTATACCCGTGAAACTCTTAGATACGTGATCGCTTTCACCGTGAAATGTTGAGCATAAAATACATAATTTCTATCCAGATCTTCTCTGTTATAAACGAGTTCGACTATATTATTATTAATAATATATTTGTGTTTCTAAAATATGTCGTCACGTATTTTTCAAGGGCCTTCCGCCACGTGGGGAGATGTTTCAGAGTAGATTTTTGTGATGTCTTCCACGAGACATCCCCTCAAAGATCTTTATGATCCAACAAAAGATACTCGAGTTATAAACATGGTCACCGTACTTGTCTAAAAAAAATCAAAAAATATTCTTCGAATATCTCGTATTTAAATTTGTAATTTGTTGGTGATTAACTGCCATTTTACACTTGTACCGTGGCGTTGGTTCAGAGAGAGAGAGAGTGAATGATTGCGTGCGTGTGTTTGTGTGTGTGTGTGTGTCAGCCTGTGAATCAACAGCGCCCCAATCTGGAGGAGTGGCTTCTGATCTGATAAATGCTAGTTTTCAGCTGTGATGATTGAACTGTGTGACCTGCACTGTAGTGTAATACCTGTTTAAAATTGAATCCTGCTCTCTAAAATACAGAGCGAATATCTCCAGTCAGCTCGTAATAAACTGACTTATTAAAGCGGGAAAAACAAACATTTTCTGGTAAACAGACGGTTTATTGCTCTCTCTTCCTGGTCATGTAATTTTGTGTCTTTGCTGGAATTTATCTGATGAAGATATTTTCTGTCACGAAAGAGGCAAAGCCCCGACCTTAAGCAAAATGTATGGAATTTTCTGGACAGCGCGGTCCTGAAGTGAACTTAAGTTTTATGATTATTCGTGTTTTTTTCCCGTCTAATCACAATTGTATATAAATAAATAAAATTTATACATAAGATATTAAAATATCATTTACATATTTGGTACATCTTTTTACTACATGTTTCGGTTACATCGAACCATCTTCAGGTGTAAAGTTAAAAGTTAAAAATTATAATCTTATAAACTAAAACTTAATTACTGTTGTTGTGTAACTTCTGATGATGTTTACTTCCAAATTCATTGGAGTGAGGGTACATTTTGAAGTGATAGTGGTTCAACATTGGCCTGTAACGCAAATAATTTTAAATATATTTTTTTTTAAATATTACTGAACTTGAAAGAACGAGTATAGAAGACAAAATGTAATAAGATAAAAATAAATAATGGAAGGTAAAAATGTAAAAAATGAACATACCGAGTCGTGTTTTTTCCCGTCTAATCAATGAATTTGGATGCAAACATCATCAGAAGTTACACAACAACAGTAATTAAGTTTTAGTTTATAAGATTATAATTTTTAACTTTTAACTTTACACCTGAAGATGGTTCGATGTAACCGAAACATGTAGTAAAAAGATGTACCAAATATGTAAATGATATTTTAATATTTTATGTATAAATTTTATTTATTTATATACAATTGTGATTAGACGGGGAAAAAAACACGAATAATTAAATTTTAATTCACAATATGACGCAATTATATCAACTTAAGTTTTATGGTTGAGGCAGCCGTCGGAGGAAAACTTCACGACGTTTGTAAAACACTTTAATGGTTCACTGAGAAAATTAAACAGCACGAACGCAGGAAAAAGAAGTACAGAAGAGAAATCAAAGTTTTCTGTTCAGTAACAGCGGTTTTATGGAGCGTGAATGTCCTATTTCTGATTTTGATCATTTGTGTCTTTTCGAGCGGAAATCTTCCGGAACAGAAAATGTCGAGGTTCCTCAGGATTTGGTTATAAGCAGGTGTTAACGGTGTTTGATGTCTTGTTACATTTCAGCTCTACTTCTCTTTCCCCGACTAACATATGTATGAGTGGGGCGTGTGATTGTATCCCACAGGATTCCCGGACAAAACACCGGTTCAGAGTCCATACCTACAGTAGCCCTACATTTTGCGACCACTGCGGGTCTCTGCTGTACGGAGTCATCCACCAGGGCATGCAATGCGAAGGTAACCCAACCCTGAAACCAGCCCCCTTGTTGCCAGCCTCAGTAAATAACAAGGACCTCGAGTCTCTTAATTTTTGCGTTACTCGCACACATAAACGTAACCTTCTTGATTCCGTCCTCGTCCGGCCATTCCTAGACGTTCCTTCTGTTACACTTATTCATCATTGTGTCACCAGAGATAATTCATTCATTGAAGTGACCTGTGGTGGGTTCGAAACCTGTCCGGTCGCCATCACGCGTAGGCCTGCTTTCCGTCCATTTAAAATGGCCGGGGTGTGATTATGGTGCTCCATAAGCTGTAATGGCTTGGTGTTTTGGCACACTGGAAGCCGTCATTGATTTGTTTGAGAGTAAACCTCACGCGCGGTGTTTTAATTGATAATTCAGATTTAGTCTGTCAATTTTGTACAGTTGTAACGATGGCATATAACTACCCGTATAAAGAAACACGTGCCACGGTGGTCTAGCGGTTAGAACGCTGGCCTTGTAATCCTGGGGGATCTCGGGTTCGATTCCCGGTGGTGCCCGAATTTATAACTTGTGTTGGGCAAGGCCGTGGTCTAGGCAACACGGAGTTTTCCTCCGTGGCATCCCAACAATTACTCCATTCACACACAGAAGAAGGCAATGGCAAACCACTTCTGGATCATCTGCCAAAACGTATATGAACAGGTCCCAGTCCAAGAAAAG